TTCAAAATGGTATAAACCCTGTAGGAGACGAATTGACTCATCATCTGCTTGGATGTCTTGGCAGCATCAAGTCGCTCTATATATTTAAAAAACATTTATTCTCAATTTCTGCACCTGTAGTCCTATAAGAAACAGTTCACAGGCAAATACCAGTCCACAAACTATCCTTTGAGTTGCAAGGCATTAGACTGTATCTTTATGGATCAAATCAGGAACCTGCCAGGTTAGTGGGTTGAGCAGTTGAGGTGAATTGGTCAGCCCTATGATCAGAGTATCTTACGTAGAAGGGCACTGCTTTTCCTGCGATTTTGAGGGCTATAAGGGACTCCATTAGGCCCTGGAGAGAGAAGTAGTGTGATTGGACAAGCATGTCAGGAGTCAGGAGCTGGGCTGTAGTGTACATTTTTCAGAGGGATGACTGAAACCACCAAGAACACTTCTTGCGTAAACCGTATGCTAATTAGGATTGGGTAATTGTGTTTTATTTCAACTGTGTAATTTGTACCTCCCAGATTGTTACGCTACAATAAAGATACGCTCTTAAATGAGCTCTTGAATGTATTGTGAAGGGAATGCTGTGAAGAAGGGTGACATTAGAGAGTGAGTCAAGGCAGAGGGATCAGGCTCCCCGAGTGTCCTCGTTTGGTTATGTGGTTGAAACCTCAGATGTCCACTTGTGGTGGCGTCAACAACTTGGCCAGCCGTGGGCAGCCCTGAGTGTCCTTGTGAGGTGTTGTGCGTAACAGGCAAGGGGAGGTGGGAGGGCAGGTTTAGAGGATGCTTAGAACGAATTGCTGGCGTGGCCTGCCCTTTCCTACTGAGAACTGCAAGGTGTTTTGACGCCTCCTTTATGTGAACAGTGGGCCTTTTATGGAGAACGAGGTTGTCCAGGATGTCCTCTTCTGAACGATAATAGAAATAACAATAATTACACTACCATTTATCGAGCGCTTACCATGAACCAAGTACTGTGTTGTGGACTTTATATGCTTTATCTCAATCCTCTACTAGCTCTGTGTGGTAAGGGGTTATTATTGTCACCATTTTACAAAGAATGCATTGGGGTTTATTGAGAGGTCAGAATTCAAACCCAGGGAGTGTGACTCCACATGTGATTGTGGTTGCACCACTTACTTTAATCATATACCCCTATTGGTGCTTTGTTCCCCAAGCTAGGACCTTTGAGGTCCAGGATCCCAAGACGCTCTCTCTTCCCTGCTCCTGGCCTGCAGTGAGAGACCTCGCATGACCGAGATCCCACGTGTGGAGCCTGTGGAGGGAGAGGTCACAGCCTCTGTCTACCTTCCCACACTCAAGACTGAAAATCTTACTCAAAGGTCTTTCTGGTGAGGAGTCAGACACTTACAGAAAATAGTAGGAATAGGAAAGGAAAGAGTTGGGGAGAGCAACTACAGACTTGATCACAGCCTGCGGATGGGAAAGAACCACGCTGGCTGGAAGTTGATGGTACATAAATGAAGGCGTATGTGAGGACCTGACTGTGTATGTATCAAAGCCAACTGCTGAGATAGGCAAACGTGCCAAGGCAATGACAGCCGCTTGGACTTGCTAAAAATTGAATGAATTTTAAGCAACACACTGCTTAGTGAGGACAAGGGCTCTGCCTTGGTATGATTTCCAATGCCAAGAAGCTGCTTGGACCTAATTAGGCACCTGAGTCCAACGTGCCGCCCCATGATAGCACCTGCATTGGAGGCCACCCATAACAAGAGAACCAGCCACCAGACCAGCAGCTGTAATGGAGGGAAGCCCCGAAAGGGCCTCTGTACGCTGGAGGGTTATTGGTAATACCTGAAACAATGTCCTGACAGGACGATGTTACTGGCTTTGACTTTAATAAAGTTTTTGCTCTGGGCAGATTGAGATCTGAGAAAAGCCTGTGTAAGTATAACAAAAATGGAAGTTTATTTTTTACTGAGTTTTGTAGCACAATGGGAACTGACACAGCATATCTTGTTAACATTGCTAGAAAGTAGGTTAGGTCCTTCTAAATTTCACTGCATCTACAAACTTGTAGCCAATAGGGATACGGTAGGACCAGTTTAAATTTTATATTTTAAAATAACATTCAGAAATGTTTAACTTAAGATGACGATTTGAGCACAGACATCCAACTCTCCAATTCCCTATCTTTGTGACTTGATCTTGACCTGAAGAGTGCAAAAGAGATGAGAATAAATCTCAACATGCAACCTTTACCTGAATTCTTGAGGACTTTTCTTCAGGTTGGTGTAGATGGATCTGGGCCTGAGTCTTTTCTGAGAAGGTTTCTTTATCATAGGCAGCAAGTAGAGGAGATTTGAGCAAAGTTTTACTAATGTTCCTGAGTTTGGAGGAGCTAGGAGGGCTTATTGAGTGACTGTCAAAGGAGCAGATGAGAATGTCAGTATTTGTTGCAAAAGCTCAGTAGAATAGAAGCTCTACAAAGCCAAAATGAACATATCTTCTCCCTGACTTGGAGGAATAGGACAAAGAAGGAAAGTACATACAACATGGCCAGATCACAGGGTTTCTCGGACAAAGAGAAAACTGATAAAGCCAGTGGATTGGTATCATCAAATGTGAGAGAAACCCTGAATTCTGATGGATGTTTGAATGGAAGTGTTGACTTGTATCAAACAATCCTGCAGCTTAATATATGAGAACCACCCCCTTAGGCAGTGAGCTTGTAATGCTGTTCACCAAAGATGCACTTGTTCTTTCTGGGGAGGATTTTACTTCACACTCTTTGAAGTCAGGCTTGGCCATGAGACTTGTTTTAACCAATGCAAAGTGAACAAGAGTGAGAGGTGGGACTTCTGGAGTGGCTAAGGGAGGACTTTGGCAAATACCCTCCCATAAAAACAGCAAAACTTAAAAAAAAAGTGATCCATAAAAGAAAACAGGAGTAGGATTAATCAGAAGACAGTGCTTCAAAAAGACAGTATTTAGAAAAATGAGTCAATAAGCCATAGAAAGAAGAAACTGTTTGTAAATTACTTATCTGATAAAGTACTTTGTAACCTTGGTATATAAAGAACTCTTAAAATTTAGTAAGAAGAAAACACCAACTTAAAAATCGGCAGAAGATTTGAGTAGACATTTCCCCAAAGAAGGTGTAAGAATAGCTAGTAAGCACATAGCTGACTCTGGAGTCTCAAATAAAACAGATGAGTTAACTAAGAGAAGGAGTGGTTGTGTAAGTTGCCTACGGTCATGCAGACTAAAAGTTTTTGGGCCCAGATGTTAACCCAGGAGATGTGGCATCAAGATGGTGGATGCTGTTTTTTGGGGGTTTTTTGGGGGGTTTTTCTTTTCATAAACGACTCCAAATCTATAGTAGTTGTCAGAATTCAGGAAGTGTGTATTCAAAAGACAGCAGGTTCAAAAATAATTTTGAACCATTAGTACAACCTGGTTAAGATGTTCTGACTGATAAATATGTACCATTTGACCTGTTCTAGGGGAAATAAGTCAAGTGTGAGGCAGAATCCCTATGATTTATGTAACAGCCTTCAGATATAAGGGCTGGTGAGAAGCTGATTCTGCCCGGGAGAACTGTGGGAGGACACAGTGTAAAGTATGGGACCTAGTTGTAAATCAGGGCACCGACAGTTGAGGTTACTTCCTCCTGCTAGGGTGGCAGGCTTATCTTACTCCTGCCTCTCTTTAGGATGGGAGAAATGCAGGCCTGAAAGCCCAGTCCCAGTCCAGGAAGAGCCAATCTGCCAAGACACATCCATCCCTAGGAGAAATGTTTCTGGCCGGTGCCGAGCCTTCCAACTTGGGAGGGGGTTTAGAGGGAAGCCTAGCCAACAGAAGCCATTTCTATTTTTAAGTCTTATCCAAGTATGTCACTCTTTTCCTTTTTAAATGGCCTTAAAATTAATTTGGTTGATATTAATGTGGGTGGGTGGGATACATAGAATTAAAAGAGATTGGAAATTACTCAAGATATCCCATAGGTAGTATTCTCCCACAGAGGCTCAGGAATGGTTTCATTACAGAAATGGCATTGAAACTGAGCTTCAAAAAATGGCTGGAGCATGATTTTTCTCCTGTAATTTGTTAGTGTGACCAATTGCATTGATTGGTTATGTCAGATCAACCTGTGTTCCTCAAATAAACTCATTTTTTTCAGGATAATTAGCCTCCCTTTTAACATATTGCCATATTTGATTTACTAACTTTTATTTAGGATTTTGGCACCCATATTTATGAATGAAATTGGATTGTAAATTTTTTCTCTTTCACTGTCCTCATCAGGTTTTGTTATCAAGGCTGTGATAGCCTCATACAATGAATAGGAATACTTAGGCTACTTAGGGACACAGGTCTTAGAGAGGTCCAGGAATTGGTAGATGATCACTCAGCTATTAACAGAGGGGCCAGTTCCAGGGCTATGGATTCCAAGCCCAGTCCTCTTTCCAACAAGGAGCATGCAGACTCTTAGGTCCTGCCAGATCTGTGCCACAGCCCACTGTAGATGACCCAGGGGACATAAGGCACTGTCTACAAATCCTTAGTGGAGAGGTCAGTGTTCGTAGCTTACTCCAGAGACCTAACACTGATTAGTTCTCAAGGAGAAAAACTGTTCATCGTTAATGACCTTCAGTGGTCAATGGATTTTCCTTCCGTATTTCCTTTCAGACCGCCCTTGGCGATTGAGCTTAAACAAGGCTATGAGATGCCAGTAAAGTTGTCTTTTTGAGGCTTTGCGGGGGAAAGCGATAGTTTTGGCGACCCTCAGCAGGAACCCCCGGATTGCGGGGGGCTCCCAGAGCACCGCACCCCACGGAGGTGAGATCGCGGCAGTGCCCCCAGGCCCTGCTTAGCGTGCCTTGCTGACCAGCCTCTGCTCATCACCCGGAGGGCAGGCGGAGCTCATTTCTTCCTAGCACCTGGGCCCCTGCTCCAGGCGGCTGCGGCTGCCCGAGCCGGGGCAGGGCTTTTATTGTGAAAGGAGCTCCCCACTCTGGCGCTTTCGGGGAAGTGGGGAGGCTGGGCTGGGACGCGCGGCAGCCTTGGCAAACTCTGCAAACGTCCCTAGCTGATCGCGGAGGCTCGAAGCTGCGGGAGGGCTCCCGCAGAACAGCAGATCCTCGCAGCCCCGCAGATCCCGCGTGCATCCGTCTAGACTTCCTCTACCAACCCCACCGCAGAGCATCCCGCCGCGCATCGCCCGCCCAAGAGTTGGCCGCTAGGAGGTTGTGGCTCTTGGGTCCGGGAAACCCGAGTCCAGGGAAGCCCGGAGAGCCACGGCGCCAGGGGCGGCCCGGGGCGGTGGGATGAGCTGGAGAGCAGGCTGAGCGCGCGGAGAGGCAGGTTCAGCAGGTTCAGCCACCGCGGGGGACATGGTAGGAATCGCGGGAGGGGACATGCGGGCGGTAGGGTTGGGTGGGCATCCAGACAGGTGGCCGCGGGCAGCGCGCACCCGCTGCGGGCGCAGCGCCTGAGCTGCCTCCTGGGTCTAGAATTGTTCCTCGAAGGTTGCAGGGGGGCGCTGGCTTTCATTTCTCCACTCGTGACGGGGGCAGTTGGCTTTTCTGCTACCCTTGGCTGAGAGGAGTGTAGTAAGGGGGCTTTCCTTACGATCTCATACACCCTGGCTGCACCGTAACCCACTCGCAGCACGGTACAAACTCTGTACAATTCACAGGGCAGAAAGGAGAAGATTCCATGGGGCATGCAAGGCAGCCTCTGATGGGTGAGATAGATGCCTTTGAAGTTACTTTATTCTTCTGAAAAATGCATGGGAATTCTGTATTATCTTCTATCTTAAACATGTTTTATTTAACATTAAGAAGTAATGCTTTACATTTATTACCATAGAATTAAATTGGCCCTAGTAAGGTTCAAATGCCTGGCTCCCAGTGCCCCACCTCCCTCCACTTCCTGGGACCATAGGGCAGGTAAAGGAGCACTGGATGGCCTGGGCTATCATTTATGAAGCCAGGGACCTTGTGAACGTGGCCCTTCCATTGATAAGGCTCACAGGCACCAACAAGCAGGAAAGACAGACCCTGTGAGACTGTGAGTCAGGCAGCTTAACTAAAGCCCATGCATAGCCTCAGGAAAGGGGCTCCCCTAGCTGCTGATCAGCTCTACTTCCTGGTAGAAGCTACCTGCAGCCCCCGCCCTCACCTGCTCCTGCAGTTAACTGCCCTTCCTTGAGGGGTGTCAGCCACGGATGAGTTTGAGCTCTGAAGGAACCCAAAGAGGCTCTCATGTGTGCATCTGTGAGCAGTTCCCTGCACTCCCAGGCTCACAGAGGGCAGATTGGAACTCAATGGAGATACTTCTCAAGGAGTTTAGCTGTGGGCCTGGAGTTGAGAAGGGTGCCCAGAAACTCCCCTGTAGAATGGACGGTCTCTGGAAGAACAGCTCCTTCTGTGCCAGGGTGTCCTGGCGGTGTCAGGACCAGAGGCTGAGGGCTGGTCACCAAGAGCTGGGGTCTCAGGGAGGGGAGTGGGGTGTGTGTGTGTGTTTCACTTTACACCTGCATAACACCCTCTCCCCAATCCTCAAAGGTTTTTCTTCCCCCCTCAAATTTGCTAAAGAGAAATCAATAATGAAATCTCAAAACTGGAAAAGGAAAGTGGTAGGAGGTACAGGATATGAAACTGAAAAGTGCAGTTTTTTTTTTAAAACAAAATTCCCTGTTCAGGTGCCAGAGTGTTGCCAGAAGAGAGTAGGGGCCCAGGCCACCCCCTCAGGACCATTACTGCTGTGAGGAGTCTCCTGTCCATGGCAGAGCCTCTCATACTCCTGTGATGGAGGCTGGTGCAGGAGGGAGAATACACCTGACCTGCCTGCCTTTCTGGCAGCCTCTGGACGCCATGATGAAGTGATTGCTCCACCGTCAGGTGGGCTTCCTGTTCCTGAGCCAGCACGTTCCTGGCTTCTTATCCTCAGTTCTGGGGTGTGTTAGGAAGAGGGCTTGAGTCAGGATTTCGTTATGTCTAGGTCCACTTGCCAGAGAGAAGGGCCCAATGGGCAACTTCTGGTATCAGAATGGCCCCAGAGATCTGAACGTTTCTTTTGCTTCTCTCTCTGAATGAAGGATCCTATGGTCCAGAACCCTGGGGGCCTGAGTGCAGCTCGGCATTGACAGGAACCAGCATAGGAGGAGGCAGGGGGCCAGAAGTCCTTAGGGGACCTCAGTTTCCTCCTCTATAAAATTGGACTAGATGCCTTTTGAGGTGCCATTTAGCTCCCAAAATGGATGATGCCCGAATAATTCTGAGGTTGGACCCCAGGCCTGGTGTTGACCTTTTCTTAGCACCGGTAGTTAAGAGAGTGTGAGGAAGGAGTGGTCCTCAGCCCTGATTCCGACCTTCCCCAGACCAAATCCAGGGTGGGACCTAGACCAAGGGATTTTTTTTTAAAAGGCTCCCTAAGTGATCCCAGTGTGCAGCCAGGACTGAGAACCACAGGCCTCAAGGGCTGAGGGTATGCGAACTGACTCACTCAGATGTCTCTGCATCAGTAGAGCTGCTGCTCCTTGGGACAGTCCTAAAATAGAAGGCTTGATGGACTTCAGCTGAAAAATGATACATATTATATGCCTCCTTGGAGGATCCTCCCATAGAGAAACTCCTTTTAATTCATTAGAACTGAGATGTGGCCTTCCCCAACTCATCTGAATATTCAGTAATTCCTTAACACCGTTGTCTCACTGATCCAAGGTACATAAGCTGGGAAAGCCTGGGTTAGAAATATAAAGCTGAAAGCCTAGAATCCTTAAATGTCTTTTTGCCAAAGTGAACACTGAGCTGCAGGACCTGTGAGGGCATTTTTGATTATCCTGAAGGGGCTGTGGGTCTCTGCCAGGGCTTGGTGTGTGTATTTCCAAAGCTAGAATTGGGACACTTGCCACTTTCTTTATAATAATGGTAGGAAACTTGATGTATGCTGAAGACTTTGAACTTGGATGAGAAATATTGATAGAAGAAGATAAGCCTATTACTGCCAACTTAAAAAAATGTTTTCTTCCTAGTCCTTGGGGGATTATACTATATCTATATCTATATCTATATATGAAATATTTATTTTATATAACAGCCACACTGCCAACTTCTACAGGTAACCGTGGTTATCGTTTTGGTGTATTTTCTACTCTGAGTATTATTTTAGAGAGTCGATATTATACAGAACATGCAGCTTTGCAGTCTGATTTGTTTTATTTCACTTTTTATCAAAGCAAGTTTCCATGTCTGCATCTCTAAAAAGATCTTCATAACCATACTTTCAATATTCAGTACCATGATTTTGAAAATCATCTCCCCTGCTTGTGGACTTTAGGTCATTTCCGCATGGGGTCTGTTTTTAATGACGTGAGGCCAGCTTCTGATCATCCATGGGAATGGGAACCTGAGTGCCTGACTAAGTGGAAATCAGGCAAGCTCACAAGAATAAATTGGCTTCAGCCTCTTCATCAAACATTTTACCGCAGCTACCCTTGAAGGCCCAGAGTGTGGGTGTGGGAGGAGTTTCCTCTTTTCTGTCTTCATTCTTCTATAAGCATGTCATCAGGCAGGTCATGGAGGGGAAGGGGGTCCCAGGAGGGTCCTATATGGGTCGGTTCTCCTTGGAAGAACCAGGAGCTAAAGTCCCTAGAGGTTAAGACACAGGGGGGAATCTCTAGATGAGGAGCTAAAGCCAGAGAAGGAGTGTGACCTTCTCAATGTCACTCAGAGCTGGGCTAGAGCCCAGGTCTCCTAATCCTTCACTCCCCAGCCCCTCCACCATGCAGGTCCCATCACAGACACTGTAGCTTCTTCATGTACTTGAGCCCTTTGCTGCAGCTTGGAGTGGTGGAGGGACGGCATGGGGTTTGAAATCAGAACGAGGTTTATGCCAGACTAGGCTACTGTATGGCTCTGAGGAGGCATTCCAGGTGCTCTGAACCTCAGGCCCGTCATCCGTAAAATGGGCTTATACTAACGGGTTGCTATGAGGAGCAAAAGGAATCTTGGAGGTGAAAACACTTGGTGCCCTAAAGGTGCTATAAGAGTGGGGGATTTATAGAGGACCCACAAAAATAGGTTTTCTTTTTGTCAGGACTGAAAACAAACAGTAAGGAGGTCATCAATATATTTCATTTAATATCTGATGTGGGGCTGCTTTTGGGACTCTTCTCTAAGTGTGGATCAAGTGTAGACAGATTCTGTCCTAAAATAGTCTTCTTACTCCTTTAGATCTCTCTTCTCACCAGGCAGGACATACCCAGCCTGTAGGAGATGTTTGCCCAGTCTGTGTGCCCTGGGCCTTCTTGCTGAACTCTAGCTGAGTGAGGGCAGCCCCACCCAGCCACAGCCCCTGAGGTCTAATGCTGAGGTGTCCCAGCCAGTCACCCTGCAGAAGGTCTTAGGGAGACCCTCAGGTTCTCAGGCTCAGCTGAAGAAAAGAGAAGAGGTTAAACCGGTTTTGGAATCAGAAATGGGAATCAGGACATCCAGCCCTTGGATCCTGCCAGGAATTTGATATCCTCCCTTGTGGGCATCCCCCTCCTGGGGGCAGCTGCTCCTGCAGCCAGGCTCTGCAGGGCTGGCTGGGGGAGCAGAGGGCTTTTAACAATCCACTGGCTCCAACCAGACCAAGTAGGAGTTGGTCCAAAAACAGTGGGTTGGAAAGGGTAGGGTGGGAATGAGGTGGGGATAGTCCTCACAAAGAAATGAGATCCTTATCAGTTTCAGGGCCAGTGAGAAAAATGTGCTTCAGATGCTGACAGTCCCCTCAGAAGAGGCCTCGGCAGGTAGCCCTCCCTCCCTACCCAGGTGCTGATGTAGAAGCAGAGTGCTTTCCTTGAAACCTGAATGTCCTGAGCCACCTGTGCTGTCTTTGCTTGGATCATTTTTTGATGTGACTGCTAAAGTGTTTCCATCTGGGGCGTTTGGGGTACAATCCTTGTATTTTCTGGATGTGTCTGCACAGGCCTGTGTCTGACAGATCACCTAGCCTAAGAGTGCGGATGGAGCAAGGGTTTGTGGGTGATCCCCAGGCTGCCCTTCCCTGTGTGTCCCCCCACACTATGGGCACATATTCTCGGAAGTGGCCTGGGGTCCGGCCACTTTCCCGAGGGCCTCGTCTGGTGGCTCCAGGACTGCTCACTGAGAGGAAGCCAGAAGGTGCTTTAAGGTAGCAGCTGGTGAATTCAGGGGTGTTTAACACATGTTAAAACTCATAGAAGTGTATGCAGAAATTTTAATTTTACTGAAAAAAATAATAAAAAAGTAAGTAAAAAATAATATAACAACAAGAAGAGGGAAAGGCAGTCTAGCAGAAGGGACAGCGTGTGCAAAGCCCTAAAGGCAAAGTGAGTTGTCAGAGTTGGCTGGGAGGGAGTAGGGGGGAAACCGCCTGGAAATGGGGCATGAGTGGTCTCCCCAGCCAGCGGGGGATTTGAGTTATTACACTGAGAACACAAGGGGAATGGAAGGGCTTTTGAGCTTGGAGAGGTGGGATTGTGTTTGTATTTTAGAGAGCAGTTTCCAACGGTAGGGAGACTACAGGGGGTGGAGTGGAGGGGAGTGTCTGGGGAACAATCATGATCACCATGATCCTGATGGACAGGAGAGAGGAATGGCCCTGTGGCTGGTCAGAGGGAGCAGGCGTGGGGGATGTTTGAGCAGAACTTCAAGCCCTTGGTAACCCAGGGAGACTGAGGGCAAGTCAAGAACAACTTCCATTTCTTGCTCAGGGCATCTGGGTACACAGACCTCTGTCTGCCATTCTTCTCTCTCTTCATCTTCATTTTTATTTATCCTGTGGTGTTCTTTAACTAGCCATGCTTAGAGTAGCCATGATACAAAAGTAACTTATTTCAAAATGATACTACTAATCATTTTAGTTCTGTAAAATATTATTATTATGATTTTTTGTTACACAATGGGTTTATATTTAATACAGTACTTCTCACTATGTAGATATTACTCAGTTAATATAAAGGTTTTTTGTTTAACATTAAATCTCTTCTTTATTTCAGTGTCAATATAAAGTATTTTTTTTACATTAAATCTTTTCTCCAATTCAGTGTTACATACATTGAATAGATTTTCTAAACTTTCCACCCCTAAAGAAATAAGTTTTAATTTTTGACCGGCTGTATTTGATATCTAAGTACAACAGTAACTTGAGAGATAACAAAAGAAAAATCCAATAAAAAATGGATAAAAGAGTCCTCAACAGATGAAGGAGACGGTGATTATAACTGAACTGTAGCCATTTCTTAAGATTCTGAGCAAGAGTTTCCTTCTTTCTGTTGAGAATTCTGAAACTACAAAATAATACTTACGCAAATTTCAGCCATCTCGCTTCTTTGGCCCTCCTTCTAACTAGCAAATACAATTACAGATGGTATTTTTCAGTGCATTATTTGTTATGAAGAAAACATTTTGTTTTCCATTTAACATAGGATATCAATTTGTTCCCGTTTATAGGGAAAAAACCAAGAATGTGAAACTACCTTATGTATTGCTTCTTGGAAACTTTCAGATACCAAAGCTCAGTTCTGAACCTCAGTAGCATAAAAGTTTTCATGGCAAGGTTTAATTCAGGAGGCCCTTCAAAGTCACATCTGGCCATTTCTCTTTCATGCATATACCCCTAAACAAGCAGAAATGACTATAATGCTGAGAACCGCACCTAACAGGAGAGCAATTGCATCTCCAGCTTCTACTGCTTCAGCAACAGGCAGCACCAAAAGCAATGAAAAGAGGACGAGGCACAATTGCATAGAAACTGAGAGCATGATGTTCAGCTCTTGAAGTGGCTGGATATTGAAGGCTAAAGTTTTCAAAGAAAGCGGTATTTGTATAATTCTACCTGACTCCCTTCCTGGACCTTTGGATTGAGTCCAAGAGGTTCCACATGACAGCGCCTTCCAGGAGGCAGCCATTGCAGGAATGTTATGGTATATTTTTAAGAGTCACTGTGAGGTGTTGAACATTTCTCTCTTAATCCTCTGAATTGGTTTTGCCATTATAATCATAAAAATAGGATAGAATTGCGATAATAAATGAGTACAGCGTTATTTGTGCCGCCTCAGACACCTTGCCAGCAGTGCCTGGGGCCCTCTGCCAGGCAGCACAGCCCCTCGGGTCCCCCTGCTCCTTGCCCCCAGGCCCTGCTGGCCGCCCCTGCTGGATGGTGGGTAGGGTGGGCAGGGCTGCGGCTGCTGCATCTCTCCTTGCCCAGCTTCCTCGTCTTGGGTTTCTATTAAGTGGTGGCAGGAAGGGACTGTGTCACATGCTGTTTACTTGCGGGCATTTTTTGTTTGGCTTTCGAGGGTATTTGCTTGCAATTAGCAAACAGCCTCTTCCAGAACCATCTGGAGAATTCAAATCCTTCCATCTTGGCTTGGGCAGCAGGTTCGTGGTTCCACGTTTAAAAGCCAAGTCGAGTAGGGATTTTTCCAGAAATGCCATCAGTCAAAGAACTGGTTAAAGAAAGCAGAGGGGTTAGGGGTAGAAGAGAGAAAGGGAGAGAAAAAAGAGAATAGGAAGAGCCAAAGAAGAATGGATGCGACCGGAACAGACTGGGGCTTAAGAGATAGAAAGGATGGCCCTGGGGAGGCCCTTTCACCCCTCGGGCTCCCGAGCGGAGCAGGCAAATGCTCTTTGAAATCTGTGAGCATGTCCCTTGGGGGACACAGGGTCTGGGGCTGCTCTGGGCATGGTGATCCGGGCTGGGTTTCAGCAGCGGGCTGCCCTCTGGCTGAGCAGGGATACTTTCCACTGGCCGGGCTGCACTGCCTCTCTGTGCTTCCTGCGTCCCTGTGTCCACGTGTGCTTCTGCGGGGAAGCTTTATCAGCAGAACAAACCTGGCTTTTCCAGCGGCTGGCCTGGCCTTTGTCCAGACTGGTTTTGCTCCCATGTTATGATGTGCCTTCTAATGCACGAGGCGCCGGGGAATCTCAAGACATTCCGTGTCTTATATCTCAGTCTCCGTGTTTCCTGAAAGGAGATTATCCATATGAATCTCTTCCTCCATTTCAAGTTTTCTTCATGTACACACACAAGCAACTTATTCCTCCCTCAGTAATTTCACAGCCCAATTGAGTACCTAGGGGAGCAATGTTTTCTGTGGTCATCTTCCCATCTGGACCATATGCTGAAGGCAGAGGCCATGCCTTTCTTCTTCGTTCTGGCCACAATTTAAAATGTTGCTTTAGTACTTTTAAATGCTTGGTGCCTTGTTTGAGGTGGGAAGGGAAGACCCAAATACAGTTAGACCTGTAACATCAGAGGGTCATGATTTCGAAAAGGACAGCATCTGCAACCCTCTTCATTCTTTTCTCCAAAGGAAATGAATGAACTCCAGTCCAAGGATACTGTGATAACCCGTTTTCAGCCAGGTGGAAGGAAGCAGGGGGAGGAGTAATGGACACAAGCTGTGACCAGGCTGGGATGAGGGTTTTGGGTCATGCTGCCTGGGATGCCTGGGCCCAGTAGAGGTGGAGGCTGCAGGCAGTTTGAGGGCTGGAGGCTGGGGTGGCCAGTGAATGGGCTGTTTGGACATCCATCCCTGTGCTGGGAGGAGGGTGGGCGGGACACACAGGCCTCTTTCTCCAGGACAGAGTGTCTCTGTTGTCTGTCCACACAGAAGCTCAGTGTGTACCCGTTGGGGGACCTGGATCCTAGCTCAGGCACTGGCCGCCAGCAGAGGTGGCCTCCTGGATGGCGGGAGCATTCCCTCCTCGCCTCTCCGCATACCTGGCCAGTGTCAGCAGGCCGCAGCTTGTACAATTCTTCTCCCCCTGCTCCCCTCTTCTCTCTCAACTTCTCCTGGAGCCCTAGAGATCCTGTTGCGACTACAAAGATGCTATTGTATTCCTTTCTTTCAGAATATTCTTTCTTGAAACTCTAATTAAAATCCCCTCATTGCCCTTTGGGGAGGGAACGTGGATGGCTGGGCAGCTCCACTCTCTTTAGTCTCTTTGCTGTGAGTCAGGAAAGGCTCCTGGTCCTCTTTCATACTTAACCCATTTCTGGGGCAGCAGCCCCAGGTGTCTGAGTTTAAACTGAAATTGTCATAATACCTTACCTGGTATGGTTTTAAAGCATAAAGTGTTCAGAGGTGAGTTGTAATCAGAACTGATTTCAAACCCTGCCTACCACTTGGGGCAAGTCAGTTAGCCATTAACCTCTCAGCCTCAGTTTCCACTGAAAATAACACTGCCTCCTCTTGGGGTTCTGTGTTCGATGCTATAATGAGCATAAAGCGCCTAATACAATAGTCATCGGCACATAATAAATGCTCAGTTAATGGGAGCTGTGATTACCTTGTCCCTGGACGATGGACAGGGCTGGACATGAAGGCCTGGGCCTCTAGGACTTGCTAGTAGGATCCTTCAGTGTGTCAGGGAGAGCAGGAGTTGGGCGGGTATCCTTGGACCGTAGCTCCCATGCAGAAGGGGTTCTACAATTGGGGAACCAGGGGAATATGTGCTGTAAAGGGACTGCCTTTACACCAGCCATGTGGATCCATCCCTGTAATGGGGAACTAGAGAAAGGTGGAATCCACTGGAAGGGATTAAAGGATACTCATTTAAGAGTTCTTGATCGAGATCCATGCCTAGAATCCAGGGGAGCCCTAAACTTGAATGAAGAAAAGTTTCACCTTTATTTTCATTAATCTCTAACTGAAATTCAGCATTACTTCAATAATGAATGTAGGCACTAACCACAGTCGTGTTAGCAAGACCTGTGACTTTGTCACCAAGAGGAATAACAGATTTTATATCATGAGAGTGGAAGCAGATCCTTTGAAATAGTCTTTACTCCTTACTACTTTGAAAGTGCATTTGTGATTAGATGTGCTGATAGATCTTATTATTTAATATGTTAGTAAAGAAGCACATGTATTATTATATCACAGATTTATTTTTTGGAATATTTTGATGACTATAATTCCAATCTAATTGATTGCCTTTGTAACCCTATGTCTTTTATTTTACACATTTAAAAAAGCATCCTCAGAAAGAGCCATAGCTTCACCAGAGTAGTCTTAAAGGGAACTGAAAGGATTTAGAATCCCTGCTTCTGTGCAGATATTCATCTGAGCGATCTGATCTCAGAATATGCCAGAGGACCCCCTTGTCTAAAAGTATCCTTCCTCAGCTTCTACTCTGGGGTCATTAAAAAAAGAATCTTTAGCAAACTTCTAGTGAGTGCTGGATCTAGTGACGATCATTCCCCCTTAGTACTAAGAACAGCATATATTTATGTTGGGCTTTGTAGCTTTCTTATCCATTATTCATTGTCTCCTTAATCCCTCAAATGTTAAGGCTGGTGTTATTAGGTCCATTTTAGAGAGCAATAAAGAGAGTAACTCAGAGATCAGTGATGCTGTAAGTGCTGAGTCATGCAGTTCAGAAATATGAAGGGCTTCAAGGTGGGTCGTACAACGACAAATGTGAGTCTCTTTCCACTCAGTCAACCTGAAAATTCTTACATTATACGTAGCCCTTTGATTTTGGTAGTCAGCCTTTGGAAATTTTCTGTTAAAAGTAAATATTCTTGGACATCAGTTTCTTGTGTTGATGTTGCCCCTCTGAGGGTCTTGAGTCCCAGTAGTGTCTTGTTTAGATATAGAAGAAGGAAGGTCAGGGGCTGGAGTTGGAAGCCCTGGAAGTGGACTAGATCTGGATTTGGGGAGACAACAACCTTTGGGAGCAAGAGGGCAGGAGACACAGGCAGTGGGGTGTGTCGGAGCCGGGTGTGGGGGTAGGGAAGGCCAACTGGTGGGAGAAGTCCCGACAGGGAGGGTGAGCTCCAAAGCCCAGCCTGACTCTCTTTGTGTGCTTTGCTTGGGGAGCCTCTAAGACAAGTGGGGCTGAATACCAGACACCCAAGCAGCATCTCTATGAGGGGGCTAAGGGAGTCCCCGTTTCTGGGAGCCTCTGACAAGACTCCCTGGGATGGCCAAGAGGGCACGTGATAGGCAAGCAGGGCATTTTCTTTGTATCATGAAAACAGAGACCTACTCCTCTTCTCTGCCTCTAATGGGGTCTCTGTGACACCACTGGGTACTTCCTGTCATATCTTGTTTTTGATTAGAAGGTGAACCCCAGGAAGGCAGCAGCTCCCTTGCAGTGCTGAGTATGGCAGAGATGTAGAACTCAACATGTGTTTTCATTGGGTGGAGCCTCCACATCTTGTATTTAAATCTCTCCAGAGCTGTCCAGTAGGACTTTCTGAGCTGATGGAAACATTCTGCTCTGTGCTGTCCACTATGGTGGCTGCTACTCAAAGTGGGTAGCTGGTGTACTTGAAATGTGGTTAGTGCAACCAGGAATGGAAATTTTAAGTTTTAATGTAAATAGTCGCAGGTGGTTCATGGCTCTCATATTGGACAGTGCAACTCTGGACCAAGAAGTGTAAACTGAAGCACTGGTGGAGCCCAGGCTGCTGGCATAGGTGAATGAAGTGGGCTGGGGATAATGAAGGAAAACCAACCTATGTTGTGTTTTCTCAAGCTATACTGAGCTGTGGTCAAAGAAGTGTTTATCTTCTATGAAAAACAAAGCAAGTGAAATTCCAAAGGCAACTGTCCTTCTCTCGGGAGACAGTAGGGAGTGGTGGGGCCTGTGGTGAACGGCAGAGAGCATATCATTGAGAGAGGAGTGATGCTCTGCTCCAGCCATGTGAGAACACAGGCCCAGGTTGTGGCTAGAGTCTCCCATTTTTCAAGGGAAGCTGGAAATCTGGATTTTTATGGGAAATACCCTGGATTTTAAACACCGGTTAAAATTTACTTAAAACATTTCAGGCCGGACAAAACACATCTGCAGGTCAAATTTGGCCCACGGATCCCAGTTTACAAACTCTCCTCTCAGCCTTATTCTGGAGAGGTCCATATGGCCTGCTACAAGTGGGATGGATTTAAGGCAAAGAGTGAGGTGG